GTTCCTAGGGTCTTCACAGAAACCCTGCTGGGGTGCTGGGGTGGTAACTCACGCCTTTAATCCCAGTGCTCAGGAGACAGAGTCAGGCAGATCTCTGTGAGTTCAAGGCCAGCCTGGTCTATATAGTGAGTCTCCATTTTAAGAAAGAGAGCCGGGTGGTGGGGGCACACATCTTTGATCCCCGCACTTGGGAGGCAGATCTCTGAGTTCGAGGCCAGCCTGATCTATAGGGTGAGTTCCAGGACAGCCAGGGCTACACAAAGAGGCCCTGTCTTAAAAATGGGTGATTTATTTTCTCTGCCCTTAGCAATGACACTATGTGGCAAGGCAGCACCCGAAGTCTATATAGCCTGTCTATGTAGAAATCCCACCATTCTCGGAGTGAAAAAAAGTTGTAAATTGATGAGAAGATCGGTACTGTTTGTATATGGAGACTTTCAATTGTTTCAAATTAGCATTAGTTGATCTTTTAAAAATAGTCAGGTGTCAAGGTCTCCATCTTTCTCTGGAAGGCTTGTATCAAGTTCTGTGATTCAGTCCTTACATATACTACCCCTTTGTTGTTTGTTTTAGGTAGGGTCTCATGTAGCCCAGCCTAGTCTTGAACTTCTGATCCTCCTGCTTTCACCTCCCAAGTGCCGGGATTATAGGCATATGCTAAAGTACCTGGTTTCTGTGGGGCTGGGGGTTGAACTCAGGACTTTGTGCATGCTAGGCAAGCACTCTACCAACTGAGCCACATCCCCAGCTCTCAGAGATGAAATTATAATTTTATTACATTTATGTATGTATGCATGTATTTTTTATATATGCATATGAACATCCCTCAGCTTGGGAGGAGTTGGTTGTCTTCTATCAGGTGGGTTTCAGGGATCAGTCCAGGTCACCAGGCTCAGCACCAAGTGCCTTTACCTGCTTAGAGATACAATCTTTTTTTTTTTTTTTTTGGTTTTTCGAGCCAGGGTTTCTCTGTGGCTTTGGAGCCTGTCCTGGAACTAGCTCTGTAGACCAGGCTGGTCTCGAACTCACAGAGATCCGCCTGCCTCTGCCTCCCGAGTGCTGGGATTAAAGGCGTGCGCCACCACCGCCCGGCTCTAGAGATACAATCTTAAAAAAATTTTACAAGATTTTATTTATGTGTATGAGTGAATATTTTGCCTGTGTGATGTCTGTGAGCCATGTGCATGGCCCACAGAGGCCAGAAGAGGGCATCAGATCCCTAAAACTGGAGTTACAGAAGGTTGTGAATGGCCATGTGGATGCTAGGAACTGAACCCAGGTTCTCTGGAAGCACAGTTACTGCTCTGAACTCTGAGCCATGTCTTCAGCTCCCAGTGATACAAACATAAACTGAACCTGCATTCCTTGAGATTCAGCAATGCCCATCATGACATTTCTCCCCAGCTCTACCTGTGCTTCCTCAGCCCCATCTCTGGTACTGATTTAATCTGATAACAATGCTTATTGCTTCTCTGTGTGGTACTTAGCCTGGTCGAGGCCTTTCAGATACAGCAGTGAGTGTACCTCGGACTCCAGCTCCAACACTCTTACCATATTGTGTCCTTTTGATCCCAGTAGGCCCTTTGATGACACCAACCTGTCTTTTCTCATCTTTCCGGGAACATATCTTTGACCCACTTGTTGGGGAATGCAGACCACCAGACCCCGAGTTTCTTGTAAACAACTTATTTTCCTCTGCTCTGAGCAGCCTACAGCTGCTCTGAGCATGAGACCCTGATGGCAGGGGAGTGGGTTCTGATGAGTCTGCAGCTGAAATATCCTGAGAGCTGGGGTGTGGCCAGAGCCCTATATAAGCTGCCCCTGAGCACAATAAAGTGGGCATTCTTGGTTCAAGGATAACCCATGTCCCCATCTCTCTGAGTGTGTATGTGTTCAAATCCCCAGACCCTTTCCCAGCTCACGAACTGTCCCGTAGTATAGGCGCTACCTACACCCACTGAGCTTTCTAGTAATGATTTCAGAACCTAGATGACTAGAAATGACTGTATTGATTAGGACCATTCCATGTTAGTTCTCTGGTTAGGGTTCAAATGCCATGCCTGCCAGGGACAAAATATAGATACAGAGATTTCACTATAGCTGTTGTGGACTAGAGAAGGGCTCTTCAAATGGTCCCCAGAACATGCAAATATTCTAGCATACATCCTAAGAGGACTTCGTGGCTGGACAAGTCCCTTTAGATGATCCTGGATTGTCACAGTGATCCTGGGTTCACAAAGGTACTCGTGTTAGAAAATGCTGTACTGCTGCCTTTGAAGCTCTCCAGCTCTCTGTTGGGCCACTAGCTGAGGACTGTAGGTGAACTTCATTCAGAAGCTGGAAAAGGCAGGGATAAATTCTCCTCCAGAACCCTCAAAAGGAACCCAGGTCTGCCCACACTTTTTAGACTTCTGACATCCAGAACAGTAAGATGGTAAATTTGTTATAGTAGCAATAGGAAACTGTATCCGCTTCTACCTGCCTTCCTGCTCTGCCTTCCACACTGCTGATTCTTATAGGTCCAGAGTAGGAGCTTCTGTACTTGTTTCTTCAGCTTGGGCCATCGTCACACAGCCCTGCTTAGCAGGGACATTTACCATTGGCGCTCCTTAACACCTTCTCACAGCCCCTAAATTCTCTGTGTTCATTTGAAATCATCAATATACAGTCATTTGTGTTACTTTTCTCGTTGCTGTGTTAGGATTCCAGACAGAAGCTGCTCAGGGAAGAAAGGTTTCATTTTAGCTCAAAGTTGGAAGGGATCCAAACCATCCTAGCAGGGACACATGACAGTGCGAGTGTGAGGTGTCTGGTTACACTGTCCCTGAGAGGAAAGCCAGTGCTGAGCGCACTTTCTCTTTTCCCACTTTTTATTCAGTTTGGGACTGTCCCATAGAATTGCTAGGCTTGTCCATTTTCCAAGAAAATTGAGTTTTATGTAAAATCTCCCAATTTTAAAATATTAGGTCAAATTTCAAAGAAAAAAATCTGAGTAAGCTAAATAAAATATTTTGATGGTCTTTGTCGGTACTACTTTGCAACTTCTGACGAAAAGGGCCATTGCAGGGGAAACTGAACAGAGGGTGCCTGTGAGGACAGAAAAGCTGACAGTCGAGGAAGACGAAAGTGGTGGTTGCTGTCATGGTAGAGCAGCAATGCTAAGTGCACAGAATTCACAGTGCTTTTTACTCATGTGCAGCCCCTGGTTAACAGTAATCAATTTCTGTATTTGAGGTTCATGTATGAGTCTACTTGGAATAATTTAATGAGTCAGTTTCCTGAGTTTGTAGTTTGAATAACCAGGCCAAGATGACATGGTTTAAATGCACTAAACTGTTTATAAATATGATTTCAAAGTTTTTTATTTTTTATTTTTGTTTTTTGAGACAGTTTCTCTGTAGCTTTGGAGCCTGTCCTGGAACTAGCTCTTGTAGACCAGACTGGCCTCAAACTCACAGAGGTCCGCCTGCCTCTGCCTCCCGAGTGCTGGGATTAAAGGCGTGCACCACTACCACCCGGCAATTTCAAAGTTTTAATAGACTCAGTTGTCTTTTTGTTTGTTTGCTTTTTGAGACAGGGTTTCTCTGTGAAACAAGTAATCCTTGCTGTCCTGGAACTCACTCTGGAGACCAGGCTATTCTTGAGCTCAGAGATTTGCCTGCCTCTGCCTCCTAAAAACTGGGATTAAAGGTGTGCCCACCACCACCTGGCTGACTTAATTGGTCTTAATGAAGACCTGTATCTTACTTCTATTAGGACACATTTGTACAAGTTGCCCTGGGCCTTACTCTGCATTCCTTTTGTTTGTTTGTTTTTGTTTTTGGAGACAAGGTTTCTCTGTGTTGCTTTGAGCCTGTCCTGGAACTAGCTCTTGTAGACCAGGCTGGTCTCAAACTCACAGAAATCCACCTGCCTTTGCCTCCCAAGTGCTGGGATTAAAGGCGTGTGCCATCATTGCTCGGTTCTGAATTCTTTTTTAAAAATATGTAGGGGTGAATATTTAATACAAATTATTTTGATTTTAGAAAGATTATAACAACATCTTCCCTTTCTTTTCCTCCAAGTCCTCCCATATTCCCTTTTCAGCTCCCCTTCAAAACCATGGCCTCAATTTTTCACTAATTGTTACGATATGAATATATGCATATATAACATACACACACACATACACATCGGCAAAATGTTACTTGCACATACGTTTTCAGAGCTGAGTGTTTGGCACTGGGACAACTAATTTGCGTGTTCTTCCCTGGGAAAACCACCTCTCCCGTTCCCAGCTTTCCTAAGCCACCTGTAGTTCTTTGTGCAGGATTCAGGCTTTGTGAGCTTCTCTGTCCAGTTTGGCATGTCCATTGGTGTCATCCTGCTCAGGGCAGTCACACTGTGAGACCGTGGGTGTAGTTTCTGATATTACAACCTCACAGCCAAACCCAGATCCTCTGGCTCTTAGTCATTCTGCCTGCTCTTTTGCAGTGTTCCCAAAGCCTTAGGAGACTGTTTTGCAGATGTATCCATTGAGAATGGGCTCCACACCCTGCAGTTTGACTGGTTGTGGTTTTCTGAAGTAAAAAGTGTTTTCAAAACTAGGGGTTTGGAGTTTGACTGAGAAGCTGCATATATTCACACAGTCAAGGCAGCTGGTGGAACTGCCAGAACTCCCAAGCCTTCCTCTGCTCAGGTGATCATTTTTACTTTCTTTCTTTTCCCCTCAGAGACAGGGTTTCTCAGTGTGTTATGGCTGTCTTAGAACTGACTTTGTAGACCAGACTGGCCTCAACTCAGACATCTACCTGCCACCAGGCCTGGACATTATTTCACTTTCTCATCCTAAACGAAACAATTAAGATCTAATGTGGTAAACATTAGCTGGAAAAGTACAGGTTCCCATGGAAACAGAAACAGGTTTCCAACAGGCTTGGCTGGAGAGGGAAGTCTGTAAACCTTCCCAAAGGAAGTGGTATCTTTAGTGAGAGTAAAACATTAACTGATTTCAATTACAGGTGAGGGTCAGACTGAGAGAAGAGGCTCAGAACTGAAGAGAGAGGATCTGAGGATGGAAATAAATTCAGCTGGGCTGCAAGGTACAGAACAGCATTCTATTGTCCTTTCATGTGTGGCAACTGTTACTTTCTAACCATTGGCTTGCTTTAATTATGGCTTCTACCCTTTCTGCCCTGCTGGTTTACCCGTCAGTGCCTGGCACCAGATTCTATTGATCCTTTTAGAGGGTCCAACAAATAGCCCCCCCACTTCACCATATCCCCATCAACCAAAAGACAAAATTCAACTTCTGCATGGTAAATGTTGCTTCTGTGAATCTGCCAGCCGTCTCCTCACCCCATTTCCACAACTCAGAGCTAATTTTCTGTCAGCTCCCACCCCTACTGGTCCTTTCTTCAGCATCAATTATGTACAGGGTTACTTTCTTTCTTACATTCTTTTTTTTTTTCCAAGACAGAGCTTCTCTGTAGCTTTGGAGCCTATCCTGGAACTAGCTCTTGTAGACCAGGCTGGAACTCACAGAGATCCGCCTCCCTCTGCTTCCTGAGTATTGGGATTAAAGGTGTGTGCCACCACCGCCCAGCAAGGGTTATTTTCAAACTATCTGCTTGTTTGCTGTCCTTATTCTCAAGTTTTGTACAGTGTTATATTTGCCAGTTTTTGTAAGTCACAACGCTGTGCAGGCTTTTATATATTAAAAACAGCAGGGCTCTGGGGTAATGGTGGTACATGCCTTTAATCCCTGCATTCAGGAAGCAGAGGCAGGCAGATCTTACCCGAGAGTCCTACGTGAACTTGTTCCTATCCCCTCTCTATTCCTGGTCAACTTGATGTTTATGGTGACCTGTACAATGAATGGTACTGACAAATTCCATAAGGCTTTCACTTCAACTATTTCTACCCGGATACCTTTCCATTTCCCCCCTTGATTCCAGAATGACCTCAAGCAAGCTTTCCTTTGAATCCTGAGCCTGAGTAAAAACTCTCAAAATGGCCGGGTGGAGGCAGTGCAGGCCTTTAATCCCAGCAAGAGCTAGTTCCAGGACAGGCTCCAAAACTACAGAGAAACCTTGTCTCGAACAAAAACCAACTCTCAAAGAATGACAAGCTCAACTGCACACCTTTAGTTCCTTGACTCACAGAGGCTGGTGGATCTCTGAGCTCGAGGCCAGTAAGGTCTACAAAGTTAAGGACAGCTAGGGTTCAGAGAAACCCTGTCTCGACAAACCAAAACAAAGAAAACAGGCCAGACGTCTTTGATCCCTTGGGAGGCAGAGGCAGGCTATCTCTGTGAGTTCGAGCAGCCTGGTCTACAAAGTGAGTTCCAGGACAGGACAGTCAGGACTGTTACAAAGAGAAACCTTGTCTCGAAAAACTGAGAAAAAAAAAATTTAAAAAAAAAAAAGAAATCAACCAACAAACCAAAAGCAACCAAAACCAGGGGTGTGGTGGCCTAAGACTGTTAACTCCAGGACCCCAGGCCGAGACAAGAGAATCAGCAGTTAAAGCCATCTTTTTTTTTTTTTTTTTTTTTTTTTTTTGATTTTTCGAGGCAGGGTTTCTCTGGCTTTGGAGCCTGTCCTGGAACTAGCTCTGTAGACCAGGCTGGTCTCGAACTCAGAGAGATCCGCCTGCCTCTGCCTCCCGAGTGCTGGGATTAAGGGCGTGCGCCACCATCGCCGGGCCATCTTCTACTGCGCAGCTTTTGTGACTGTGCTCCGAAGAAATAAATAGACACTGGCAGTCAGATAGCTCCGAGGGCAAAAGGAAACCCGCCCATCCTCTAACCTTAGCGCGGTTGTTATGGCGTGCCTGCACTATGAAGTTAACAATAAATTAAAAAAAAATAAAATTTACACATACGCTCGATTTAGAACACTGTCTCTATTCGCGACTTTTTTTTTTTCCTTTCAGTCTCTGCGGGTACCATACTCAGACATCCTAAAACAGTTTCTAATCCGATTACTCTCAGGTTGTGCCAAATGCCTCTTCCCAACTCTGCAGTCCCAACACTAGGTCACTGCTCACCATTTTAACGTAAGCAGATTGCAAATCTGAGCTCCCGAGGGGCAGTGGCGCAAACAAATGTCCCGACCGGCAGATTTAGTTCTTTTCTGAGCCGAAAGACGCTCGGCCCACGTGGCTACGGCAGTTCTTTTAAGGAGCAGCTTCCTTCCCGCCCCAGGAAGTAGAACCCGCTCGCCTCGAACGCCCGTTGGCTCGAGAAAGAAAAGGCCTGAACTATCAGTTGGCCTTGAAAGTCGGGTCAAGGAGATTCCCTAAATTCCCCGGCCGCGTAACGTGACCAGACGCCGCAGTTCACCGGAAGACGGGAGGAGTGGGCGGGGCGCGCGACGTGACGCGTAAGTCACGCTGTACCGCGGCGCGGCTGAGTTCTTGATTTCGGCACTCGGCTCTTCAGCCTGGCAGGTTTCTGGCGGGCTCCGCTGCGATCTGCTCTTTCGGTGCTCGACTCACCCGCTCTGCTGCCTCCGCTGAAGGAGGAGCAAAGCTCAAGATGGCCGACAAAACGCCAGGCGGATCTCAGAAGGCCAGTTCAAAGGTAGTTTCTTAGAGATCTCCGTCCGTCTTCGGGTCTTTCCCTGTGCTCCGGGCCCTCCAGAAATCTGTGGCCTTCGAGAGCTCTTTGGGGCGAGGGCCTGAGGCCTGGTCGCCACGGTGGGCCTGGCACCGCTGCACCAAGGTGCGCAGGTTGAGAGGCCTGAGAGCGCGCGTCCGTCCCGGCTGGGATCCAGTCCCACACTAACGTGCCTGGGGGCGGGTGGCGAGCGGGGTTCGCCCCTCTTTTGGCTTTGGGGGGAGTCAGACAAGCGGTTGAAATATCGGTTCGGTGTCCTTGTGTCGCAGCTTGCTGCGCTCGGAGGCCGCGGGCTAGCGCCTGGGAGAGGCGGGAATGTTCCCGATCTTAAGTGTCTGTTCTCTCCTTCACCCCCACCTTCTTTATTTTGGGTCTCACTTGCTCCTGGCCTTACTCAGTTTCTCTCATACCTTGGAGGAACTGAGCCAGCACGGTCGCAAGTGGGAGCTTCGGGGTGGGACGTGCGGAGGGAGCCGGTCTCTGTGCCCTGGGGCTCCACATGTGGCTTTTCCATCACTTCTCAGGAAGTGAAAAGTGAGCACCACTCTTGAGGGCCGCAGACTTGGGGGTCTCCATCGCTGTGTGGGGTTTCTGCTGGGAAGGAAAACTACCGTAGAACTGGAAAGTGCCCAATGAATAGTACCTCGCATTTGAGTTTACCGGGAGCCCAGGGCACTGCTGGGGAAACGGTTGAGCTGTGAAAGTCGTTTGTTAGGAAGGCTGTGTAATATCTGGTATTAGTTGCCGTCTTGCCCGGGGCGTTTAATCCTTTGTTATTTTTATTTTATTTTTATCTTGTATTACTTTGCTTTGAGATTCTCATCCCCCCAACTTAGCATTAAAGGTGATAAGTAAGTACTGCCATAAAGCAGTTGTGCGGCACTAAATGTACAGACCCCAAGTTGGGTAACACTTTTAAAGAGTCTAGGGACTTAAAAGTGTATGATTATCAATTACTAAGTCATTAAGTTTACAGAAAAGAGAGTCTTGTATTTGCTGTTTCGTTTGAGAAACAACACGTTGAATACTTGCTGTTTCTAATAAGACTGAAGTTTTGGTTTTTGCCATTTCGCTGAGTGACTGCTCCGTATTTACGTTGCATATAGAAATGGCCTTACTAGACGTTCTTTAGTTAGGTGAAACTATGGTGGGGAGCAGTTTTGGATGCCTTACACCAAACCTTGACTGTAAGTTTCCTTTCTCTCAAGTAGATTTCCCCTCCACCTTTCTTGGGGAGAAGGTGAAGAAAGGGTTACCTCATGCTGCCAGCCTTCATTCAGACCCATGGCAAAAACAGCTTCTCACTCTATTGCTGGGCTGTTGTTAAAGCCAGCCTCTTCCATAAACGCTCTGTTTTTTCTTCTCAGAGTATTAAGTATATTGAAAACTTTTCAAAGTATGTATGCGTTCAGACTTCCTTCTGAAAGAATACTTCTCATGGCGTGAATGCGGAGCTGTTCCTTTTAAGTATTAAGTGGCTTGTTGATTTTTCTCTTAGCACCTTTTTCAGTTTATAGTCCTTTAGCTGTTGCTAACAGGTTTTGGGTTTTTTTTTTTTTTTTGGTTGTTAGTTTTTCCGAGACAGGGTTTCTCTGTAGCTTTGGAGCCTGTCCTGGAACTAGCTCTTGTAGACCAGGCCTGCCTCTGCCTCCCGAGTGCTGCCCGGCTGCTAACAGGTTTCTTACTGGTGTCTGCAAGGTTCAGAGTTTTGCCATGGTTTCTCCACCAGTGTGGAAGTGCTGTGGTTGAGTGGCGAGGTTATAGGTTTTGAAAACAAAAAGACATTTGGATTCAAATCCTGACTTGGTAATTAAATATATTTGTGATACTATTAAGGCACATTGCTTAATCTCATCTTATTACAGATTTTTTTTTTTTAAGATAGGGTTTCTCTGTGTAGCTCTGGCTGTTGTGGAACTCACTCCGCTAGGCAGACCAGGCTGGCCTCAAACTCGCAGAGATCCGCCAGCCTCTGCCTCCAGAGTGCTGGGGTTAAAGGCGCGTGCCACCACACCTGGCTGCTAGGTTTTTGTGACAGGGCCTCCTGTAGCCCAGGCTGGCTTGAGCTTGCACTATAACCTTCAGCATCCTGTTTCTCCTTCCCTCCATTTTCCCAGAGTTGGGATTATAGGTATATGTTATCCATTTCCAGCTCCCTTTTCCTTTTAAAGGAAATAGCGCTTGATTTTCAAAATTTCAGGATACACATTGGTCCTGTGATTCTTACATCAGCTGTCATAATGACTGCTCAAATTGCTGTTTTTTAATTTCGAATATAGATTCAGACCTTATTAGATCATAAGATCATTTTGGCTAGTCCTACAGTATTTGGAATTTCCAGCCTTTCATATGACTTGATTTCTTTCTCTGAAATAATAGGTATTTATCTTGTATTCCACAATGTATGTCAAGTAAGTAGATACTTCTGTCTCATGTTCTTTGGTATTTCCATCAATATTCCTAGATATTGAAGAAATGTCA